CAGATAAACTGGGACTTGATCGAGACAATCGGTCGAACTTCAAGGCTGATTATGGCCGTTTTTCGACAAATGTCGAAGGTGTTTTTGCAGCTGGTGATTGTCGACGTGGACAATCACTTGTGGTGTGGGCCATTAATGAAGGTAGACAAGCTGCTGCACGAGTCGATAAGTATCTCGTGAGAGATGAAGAAGATGATGATGATGGTACGCTTGGCGAGCCTGAAGAATTTGTGAAAATACGAGACAGCAACAGAGAACACACTGTAAGAACATAGTTACTTTCTTTCATCAGAGCTTCACAGAAAAAGCAAAAATAACGACAAAAAAAAAGAAAAAAAAACTTGGATCGGACAAACACATATGAAAACCTAAATTCTCCTTTGCTCGATGGCTTCTCGGGTGATCGCCCCCAGATAGGGTTTATGAGACGGGATGCGGGGTTTTAGGATTCGGGTCGTTTTTTGTGTTGATAAGAAGTGTTTGTAGTGTGATTGATGTTTGTTGGTGTTTCAAGTGCTGCTGGTAAAGTTTTTTTGCCAGATGTGATGGAATAAAGGAACAAGTAGTTTATGTAAAGGGTTTTCTCTTCAAATCGTTTGATCTGATATTATTATATATTTGAAGGAATATCTGGTTTTTGCATTTTGAAGGTTGTTCTACTGATGCATGTAAGTTTAAGTCATGTCTAGAGCTGTTAAATTAAACGAGCATGGTTCGGCTCGTTAAGGCTTGAGTTCAGCTTAAATTAACGAGCCGAGCTTGAGCTTATTTAAAGTTCGTTTGGTTAATGAGGCGAGCCGGCTCGATAAAGCTCGAGAAAAGAATTTTTATATAATTTTTATAGTTCAGCTCGTTAAAGCTTGAGATCGGCTCGTTAAGGCTCGAACTCGATTTTTGGCTCGTTTATTTAACGAGCCAAGCTTGGTTCGGCTTGTTAAGAGCTCGAGCACCTTAAGCTCGAGCGCCGCTCGGCTCATTTACAGCTCTAGGCTAGACTAGAAAGACAAGTTTCGCAAATCTTGGTGACTGACTGCCTTGGAAAGAATCAGTAGCTCAAATGTGCCTAAAAAATATGAACACTTAATAATATTGAGCATACGAACTATAGGATGGACATGTTAAGGAACTCATTACTATTTATTTTCAGTTAAAAATATTACTCGCATGCATTCACATATCTATACTTATATAATAAGAATTAACATTTATCCAAAATAGTAGGTCAAATTATGGTCAATGTTAGATTTGCATTAAATATTTTCCAAAATTGGTAAGTTTTTGTCTTTTTCACACTTCTCATTAATTATGTCCTTTTCACATTTCTCATTAATTATGTCATATTCACACATCTAATTAATTCATTAATTGCGACATAATTATCATCAATCATTCTATTTGAGCTTTTATCGTTAAAATGTATAGCGATCTGTTATGATTTTATCCCATTGATATTTCCATGAAGTGTCCTTATTTTCTATTTTTTGGTAACCACTCTATATCAATAACCGGATATTTGGTTAATGATAGCACATGTCTTTATTTCAAGGAGCGGATATTCTTTGACCTTTAATTAATCTGAACTGATTGCCTTGACTTTTCAATTTTTAAAATTTTTTTTTTTAAATATTTCGGCTTAAGATTCGGATATTATTATACAAGTCATCGAATTGTTTGAATGAAAATGAATGAAAAGAACACCAAAAATAGGTAGCCTTATTCATATAACCAATCCTAAAATATTAGTTTGTTCACCAAAAAGAGACAAATTCTAGAAATCCTAAAATATTAGATTTTCACCAATCCTAAAGTATTAGTTTGTTCACCAAAAATATTAGTTTGATTTTTAGGATTTGTCTCTTTTGAAAATATTAGTTTGTGATAATGAGGAGTACCAAATAATCAAACTCATAATGTTGTGTACAATGAGGTTTTTAATAATATATGATTGTTACCGAACTTTTTTATGATTCAATAATTTTCCTATGTATTTTAATAATTTCAATTTCGATCCTAATGCACGTGAAATTATATTATTCTTCTAAATTTTACATCCCGTGCATGACACGGGTTACGTACTAGTTTCTAATATTAATCGTAACGATCCATATTATATTATTTTAGATCAAATCAAATCGGATAATTACAACTTTATCTTATATTTACCTCACTTTTCTAAAATTATTTTTTTCCATCTATAATATATCCAATCGCAACCTAATAGAGATTGCAATTTTGATTTACTTTTTGGTGAAAACTTTTGCCCTCTGTAATTGTAACCCGTACCAGCTTATTTATCGTTGATAGTTGCAATTTATAAGAGTTGCACGTAAACTGGTACAGCTTATTTATCACTGATGGTTACACTAAAAGCTGTTGCAGTTTTTTTCTCCTTTTAAACAATGTTGATGGTATTTTGAAACAGGTACACAATCGAACTATGTGGATGTTAACTGGATATGAAATTCACATGTTTTTAGTGCAAAAGTTGTGGCCCAGCCATACTCTGTGGTTGTGAAATTGTGAGTTAGATAATTATGAACTAATCAATTGACAAGCCCAATTATTTGTTAATCTGTCTTATCATAGTGTAGTAGATAGATATATTAGATATGGACCATATGGTATTACACGCAATCCATTTTACTGGATATTAATTAATGCTTGTTGATGAATGTGTAATCAAATATTTTATTTGTTTATGTGGAGTGGAGATTATCATTTTTCACTATGCATTAAAGATGGTCAAAATCAAATAACTAGACTAATAATTGATTTTCATTCAACCCTAAATTCTTTTCATTAATCAGTAATCTATCATAATGTAGTCATGTGTAGGGCTGCAAACTAGTCGAACATTGGCCTTATCAGCAGGATTGATTTTTTATTAGCTGCTCGAGCTCGACTCGCTAAAAAATTACAATAGCTCGAACTCGACTCGAAATCAAAATGCTCAAGCTCGGCTCGAAAATTTGTAAGTGGAATAGTAAAATTACCATTAAGCACCTATGCTAATATATATAAGGGGAAAAGTAAAATTACCATCAAGCCGTTCGACAACGCAAAATATGGACTCGAGCTCAACTCAACTTCGGTCAAGCTTTTTCCAAAATGACGGTTTTTTTTTAAACTTTTTCTGAATTAGCGTTTTCGATCGTAAAATGTCATGATTTCAAACAAGCTAAATAGCATATCTGATTGTCCAATTTTCTAAATGAGGTCTAACCTATTAATTTAACATGAATTCGCTGACAAATAAACGAACTTCTTGTCATGAATGAAAGNNAAGCCTAATAATTTCAATTTACGAGTATATTTTTAATTTTTTATTAGACGACATGTAGCTTGGTAACATAGCAACACATGTGTCTTGAATGGAATAAAGGGAAAGCCACAATAATTCCAAAATTTCCGCTTGACCTCTTTTACGTGGCAATTGTGCACAGGCACGCACCCCGTTTTGCTCGTGGCCATAAAATATCTTCGGAACAAAATATTCCACGGTGGGTCCCGAATTAGTAATCTAAATCTCGATTAGTGATGGTTAAATTACCACTAAAAAATAATTATATAATATTCATACCAATGTGGCATTAAATAATTTGGTCCTTACAAGTCCAGTCGCCGCAACTGTTTTTGTAGGCGGCGTGTTAATTTGTTAAATTATGTGTAGCTTTGCGAGTCATTAGATTAGTTGGTATAATATATAATTCGTAGTTGCAGTCATTTTTGGGTTGAACACGTAAGTAGTGAGGAGAAAATTAAGTTGACGATATTTAACTAACATTTTTTGATTTGTATGGAACAGTTGCAAACAAATCACTACATTAACTATCATTTTTAGATTTGTATGGAACAGTTCCAAATAAATCACTACATGGCTTGAGGATATACATGTAGAGTTATTAAAACCGAGTTTGTCGCTAACATAATAACCATTAAAAGTTTGAGTTGACTCGTTCATTTATATTTAGCAAGTCGAGTTTGAACAACTCATCAAACTTGTTTATTAGTTGAGTTGAGCTTACTTGCAAATAGCTCATATTTTACTTTAATTTTTTCAAGTGTTTTAAATGAGGCACGAGCTGAGTTGTTCGCGAACAACTCGTTTAAAGCATTAAGTTTATTAAATGAAATGAATTGAGTCGAGTTATTGGCTTGTTTAGTCAACGAATCTTTAAGTATATTAAACAAAACGAATTGAGTCGAGTTATTGACTTGTTTATTAAATGAGTCAAATAATTGAGCCGACGAACCCAAGCTTGAAATGAGACAGGCTCGAATATCACTATTATGTGCAGAATAGTGTTTGTATATTAAACAAGAATATTTATTTATAATACTTGCACATGAATAAACAATAAAAATAATCAGTTATCATCAATGAAAAAATTTGAAAAGGCGGTAGGCTCTAGATCTAATTATCTACGAGTAGCTGACACGAGGGTCCGAGGTACAAGACCACCTCATCAACTCTCCTCCCAACACGTGTCCCCCTCCATTTCAACATTCTAAAATCTTTACCCACCCTACACTAAATCCCGCTACAGGCCCCCACACCCAAATCGCATCACGCCACCTTCCATCCTCCCTCCACCTGTCCTACCCAAATGAATCTCAGCCGTCCACGCGACCACACGACGCTTATCCCAAAAAAACATATTTTCGTCTAGGTCATTTAACTTGACCGCCGCGTGGCTGCCACGTGTTGGTAAAAACCCGACCCGCTCTTTTTATATATATTTCCCTAATCAGCACCCTTTTCATATCATTTTCATTCCCACTCGAATTAACAGTTAAGATCAGATAAACAAATTTCAATTGGAAGATGATTGCCAACGGCTTGAGCAAGGATTATCCGGCGGCGGCGGATGCGGAGGGGATCTGCCGCCTGCGGAGCGGGATTTCGGAGATCGACGGCGGCGGGGGCCGGAGATCGAGGATCCTCCGCCGCAGGAGGCTGAAGCTGCTGCGGATGAATTCCCTCTTGAGGGAGAAATCCGCCGCGGACGGTTCCGTCGGGTCTAGGAAGAGGAGATCCGAGAATAAATCGGCCGGGGACGGGCGAATCGGCGGATCCGGGTACGGGGTGGCGTCGCTGGTCGGGCGGCGGAAGGTGATGGAGGACGCGTTGGCGGCGGAGCTTGGCTGCCTGAGGAGGGCCGGGCGGAGCTACGACTTCTACGGGGTGTACGACGGCCACGGTGGGCGGCGCGTGGCCGAGGCGTGCGCGGAGATGATNAGTGAATGTGCGGTGGGGGAGGGCGGTGTCGGCGACGGGGTCGACGGCGGTGGTGGCGGTGGTGGGGGAGGAGGAGGTGGTGGTGGCGAACTGCGGGGACTCGAGGGCGGTGCTCTGCCGCGGCGGCGCCGCCGTGCAGCTGTCAGAGGATCACAAGGTAAATGACGGTATGCATGACGGCGTGAGTGGGTTTGTGGACGGTGGCGTTAAGACTTTCTGTTTGATTTATGTAGTTCTTTTACATATTTGTCTCCGGGAGAAAACCGTCCATAGTTGTATTTTTGTTTGCAATGCTTCAATTTTGGCTAAAATAAGTTTATCAGCTTGGTCATATATTAGTATTTTATGCATAAATATTTTTGCAATAATTAAATTTCCCCCTTTTTTTTGCATAATACTGTAGATCTGAGTTCTTGAGAACTGGGTAAGAAGATTCGACCCGCAATTCTGCTTGTATTGTTTATGTAGTATGTAGATAATATTTGGATTGCAGTTTTTGCTATGACGTCGAGCCAACTTTCTATATAGAACAAATACAACAAGTAAATTATAGCATATTAAAATAAATACTATTAATTTTATTAATATGGTATAGTTTATATGAAGAAGGTTGGTCTGTTATGGAGTCAACTATTGACTTCATAGCAAAATTGAATGTGATTGTCTCCTTTTAGTGTGCAATATAAGATTTGATATAGAGGAATATTGGTGTTAATCAAGATGCCTACAAAAAATTATGTATTGACATTTGTTTTAAATGTATTTACCATCATACATGTTCCATTAATTGTGAATTTAAGTAGTGATTAATTAGAAGTGTTAATTAATTAATTAATTAATTAATTAATTAATTTGACAGCCTGATAGAGCAGATGAAGTGGAGAGAATTGAAGGGTGTGGAGGGATGGTGATTAACTGGAATGGAGCTAGGGTTATAGGTGTTCTTGCTACTTCAAGATCTATAGGTATGTTTATATTGCTCCTCATATTGGCTCATTTGCTTAAGTATAATGCCTAATTAGCTTAAGTATATATTATTAGTACTGCCTAATTATATTGTTACAATAAGTAGATCTACAATTATTATATTTTTTGTAGTGCCACTGATTGTGAGATACCTGCATCAAAATATTAATCGAGCTAGGCATCATTTTCTAGGAGAAAGGCATATTTTTTACAATTCTCAAATGGTAAAAGTTATCAAATTTTAACTAAAAACATTTCGTTCATTTATTCATATGTTTATATTTGTAATTATTACTTTTTGTATCACATCAGCTTTACCAATTATATTTTATCTTTACATTCAGTTACACCTTTTTATAAATAAAAAAAATTCTTAAAATATAACTCCATGAGAAAAAATAATTTGCACGTGCTAAAAAGGTAGAAGGCGGGGGTGATACCAAAGGGAATTAAAGAATCAATAAATTAAGAAAAACTAGTATAAGTTGTTTGAGATTTCAAAAGGCCTTAAGAAACCACAACCTACTTACTTTTACTTAAGAAACCAAAACCTACTTACTTAAAACATAATGTATTTAATTGAAATTTTAAGTGACATTTTAAGATTTTTTAAGATTTTAAACTTTTTAAGATTTTCAGACTTAAGAGGAATCATATGAAATTTTATGTCTTGAGGTAGTATTTGAAGTGGGATTTGGTACAAGGTTTTCTATTTCGAAATGCAACCAAATCTTTAAAAATCTTAACAAATCCTATAGTGTCACGTAAATTAAATACCTCAAGATTTTGTAAGACATTTTAAAATCCTAATTGAATACCTTCAGTATTTTTAAAAGTCTTAAAAAGTCTAAATTGAATACACTAGGATTTCTCAAAGTCTTTATAAATTCTAATTGAATACACTCAAAGTCTTAAAAAGTCTTCATAAATTCTAATTGAATACACCCCTTTTAGTTTTGTAGGATTTTGAAATTGAAAATTTTTAAAAGTCTCATATCTAAAAAAAAATTTAAAATTCCAAACGATATGAACACATTTGCAATATAAACATTTTATTAGTTATTTTTTATTTACAGGCGATTACTACCTGAAGCCGTACGTGATCCCAGACCCGGAGGTACAAGTTATCAGCCGAACGAGCTCTGACGAGTTCTTGATACTCGCTAGTGACGGGCTTTGGGACGTCATTAGCAACGAGTTGGCGTGCCAAGTCGCAAAGCGGTGTTTGGCCGGTCGTGTGATGAGGGATTCCCTCTTCTCGAGGGCAGGCAATGACGGTCGAGACAACCATGATGACAAGGACATGCCGGAAGGTAAAAAGGTCGAAAACCGATTTGAAGAGGCTGCAGCCGTGCTAGCTGAGCTGGCTATCGCCAAAGGCAGTGGTGACAACGTAAGCGTTGTTGTGGTGGGTTTAAGGTAGAGGTCCAGCTCGAGCTCTTGATATAAATGTTGTTTTGAGCAAAGAACAATATATGTAACCACGGTTTTAAGAGAGAATGTGTAAATATTTATACGAGGATTTAGAACTTGTTGAGCTTGCTTTACTCTTTTGATTCTCTTTTGTTCTTTTTTTTTTCTCCCCTTAGAGTTTTTGCTCAATTAGAAAAATCTCAACTTCGTTTTTCTATATTTTTTTCCCATTTTTTGCTAGTTTGAAAATGACCTTTCATGGAAATAACTAGTTATACATAGGGGTGTATGTATTTTAATGATGGATGGTTGAACAATCTGTTTTAAGTAAAGTAAACATGAGCTTTTTTATAAGCCTTTATGGCCTGATAGGATATAGAATATCCGGCTCAATTTATCTTTGACTCAATTCTCCGTATGGTCCATATAATTAAATAATTCGTATAATCAATATTCATGAATACATAATTTTAATTACTCATTACTTTTAATCAACTCTCTTCCTCTTTTAAATTACATTAACTTTAATTATTATATTTTAAATATTATTTTGTACTTTAATACAAACTGAAAATTACACTTAAGTAAAACTCAATCAACTATTTTTCAAAACTAACTCATTTTTGTCCAATAAAACTAATCAAATCTCAAATAACTTATATAGACTCAAGCCCTCAAAAACACCTTCCTTCAGACGAAAACGCGGATATAAACTCATCACCCTCGGCAAAATGTCATTTTCGGGCAAGACCCCAGATATAAACTGCCGATGCTAAATTTATTAAAAATTGTGAAAATATTCAATTATGTTACATTTATTACATTTTTTCACATTTTTCTTCAATCAATACTAGTGCGTGGCCCGTGCGATACACGGGAAAAAAATATTACGATTGTATTATAAATTAAATATATAAATAACATTAATCATGATTTATTCATTATTTTTAAATTAAATCAGGTTGAACACAGTCCAACCGGATAGATCGAGAACCGGTTTATAACCAATCTAGTTCGCTTGAATAAAATATTTGCTCTCGACTCCGTCAACACCAGTCGGTTGGACTGATATGATCGATATAATTTTCTAAATAAATTTTATTATTTTAAATAAAATTACATATTTAAATAAAATAGAGATTTATAAATTATTTATCAATTAGTTTAAACGTTTGAATTTATAAATTGTTTAGATATCTAAGTAACACATTTTATTTAAATTTATTACAAAATGTACTATATATATATATATTAAAATTTTCATAAATTAAAATCTGAACAAACTACAAATGATTTAATATAATAGCTTCATCGTTTCGATGATGGTCCAGTCAGAAAACCTTATATTTACTGTACATTAATAAATATTATAATAAAATATTATTTAATTCACATAAATATTAATAAAATGATATATAAATATTCATAAATCATTAAACACGTTGTCATAAAAGTATTGTTAATACGATTTTTTGAAGTTTGGACTATATCACATTCACGTAATAAAATATTTTCAATATAAAATTTATATTTAGGTTCAATAATCGATTTGGTGTGGTCGAACTGATACATAACTTAGTCACCTGGGATCAACTAAGTTGTGTCAAGTTTTTTGACTATTTTAAATATCACCTAAATGTAATTCAATCAACCTGGGCAGTACCCTAATTCAATCACCCGATTGATCCGAAAAAATTTTCTTTTCTTCTTTAAATATATTTAATTTTATGAAATAAAAATATTTTATGATTCATATAATATATGTCTACACCAAATGATAGTATATTAAGATTTTAAATTATATATCTAAAGATGACTTAATTAAACATAGTAATTTTCAAAAAATTAAGTTTAATTGATTGATTATGCAATTTAAAGAATATTTTTAGCGTCCAATTTTTTTAAGGCACAAATATAAAGACCGAGATTTAAAAAGTTTTGTTATATTTTGAATTTGAGATTTTATAAATATAAAGACCGAGATTTAATATTGTTTGTTGTTTCTGAGAAAAAAAATAAAAATAAAAACATACACACTTAATAAATCTTAGCCGGATTTTTTAAATGATAAAATGAACTAAAGCCCGAAATTTAAGGTAGCATTTAATGTTGTATGATTTTTAAAGATAAAAATAAGAAAAATAATAAAACTTACTATTTATAGGTTGCATTAAATTATTGACCTATTTTTTTGCTACTATTTTTGGTAAATGTTAATTCTTATTACTAGTACAGAGCCCGTGCGATGCACGGGGTGCACAATTTTAAGGCTATTTATCCAGACTTATAATTATATATATGAATAAAGAAAAATGTACGGGATATATATAGTACGTGCGAAGCACGAGATATATTTATTTGGAGAATATTATATTATAAGATGCAATATTCAATAAAAGTTTATAATACGCAAGAAATTGTACAATGTTCAATAAAAGTTTTATAATATCAAGTGGAATCTTAAAATCTCTTGTACATTAAGACTACTGACAAAATAATATTTTAATCAATAAGTTTCCTTTCCTTATAGCCAAATTGTGAATGTGATTTGAGGAGTACAACAAATCGATATATAGCTGACTTGCTTTTTTCATTGTAGTTTTTTTTCTTTTTTTTCATAATGAATTTAAAGATATTCTAAAATATAGCAAAAATTAATTTTTTTATTACAATTAGCAACTTTACTAAATATAAACTCTCAATCTATGGTGTTAATCAACGTTTAAGTCTAAAAAATTAGGAATTTTTACCTCTTTTAATCAACGTTTAAGTCTAAAAAACAATAGAGTTATTATAAGTTTTTTTTCTACATCTTTCAAAACATTAAATATGAGCATGTTAGGGCTAGCTTGTAAAATAATTAATATATTATATCACTAAAATATTTATACTAAAAAAAATTTAATTTTAGCATATAAATTTATCCCTTGATATAAGAGAAAGTAACAGTTTTACTTATTGTTGTTCACCATATAATATTTATTATTATTTTATTATATAATAAAAAAGAAATATTGTTAAATAGTGTAGTAGAATTGTTATAAAATTATATGAATTTTTCTTTTACAATATAGATTTAATATTTTTTTATGATTTGATAATATAAACAAATCTATACTTAACTTTGACAAATAAAACAAATAAATATTTTAGCAAGTATTTAATGTATATACTAAATAGGAATATATTTGGTATAATCAAATACCAAATATAATCAAATAAGTCAAA